GCAAGAGATCTTGAGAACAGTTATCCCATCAAAAACGTGGATTATTTATGGTAGTCATTAAATATAATGTATTCATCTTGCCAGCATTGTGTCTGTGTGGTTCTGAGGATTGAGCAACGGGACTTAGGCAATGCAAAAAGCCTGTTCACTTTCCCGAAAGAGAAATATTGTAAAGGTCAACGTCTTTGCCTCAGGAATATTTGGGCCCCTTCCACTGTGATTAAGAGCTCAAGTTTTCATTACTGGCTTTAGCAGAAATTACAAAAAGAGATTATTTTGGTAAAGGATACAAATAAAAATTGTAACATTTTGGTAGCTTGCAATATCCTCATGTATTATATTTGTAAAAGTTTCACAATTTTTTTCCTTTTCATGAACTTTTAATTCAGGTTCAGGGTGGGGAGAGCTGTAGTTGATTGACACTTGTAGCTGAAGGTGTGCTGTAATCAGTAGAGGGAACTAGGACTGTTAGGGAATTAACAGGGCTCAGGACGGAGCCTGTTCCAGGCCTGTCTCTGCAGTGGGGTGGAGTTGAAGAAGCTCCTTTATCTCTCAGGTCTACAGCAATGGGGGAGTGTTTTGAGAGGTTCGGTGGATTCGATCAGAGACGTAAAAAGAAACTTTCCAACCCAAACGAATGGACTGAATGTATATTTTATTATATAGAGGAGAGTAAAGGTGATAGTCGGCAAATAGACCCGAATAGGTCAAATAACCAGAGGGAAATGATACAAATCGATCGGAAAGGGAAACACCAGATCGACCGAGATAGAAGCAGATTGGAATAGGTCAAATGATAAGAGGAAAAAACATCAGATCCATCGGAAAGGGAAACACCAGACTGGCCGAAGGGAAATAACATAAATTGACCGGAAAGAGAAACACCAGGGCGACCGAGAGAGAAACATCAGATCAGTTACTCACAACATCCACACCCCTGTGCCGGGGAGAGTCCCTTCAATTGACACGGCTAGGCGGGAGTCCGATCATCAGAGGTCCTGGGCAAGGCGTCCCCTCCAGAGGGGAGACTCTCACCTGGCTTCAGTTTCCAGCAGTTTATGTAGCATCAGTAATCTCCAGAGTAAGCATTTGCAGAGTTTGTAGAGTAAGCATTTGGTGTTCTCATGCACAAATGGTTATCAGTTGCGTAGGTGCATTGAGCCCCCTGGCTATTGTCCCAGCCCTGCACAGATGGCCAGTCCATCCCAAGCTACGTCGCCCAAAGAGTCTTGTAATCTTACAAATTGCAACTATCTCTGTGGGAGAAGGGCCAGTCTCCGGGAAAAGGGCAGTTCCCACCACACAGAAAGCAGCTTTGTATTTCTTTGTGTGCTGGTGGCTGGGTCCATGGAACGGCCAAACATGGCTGTACTCATGTCAAGACAGGGAGGAAGTAATGTTGACGTCTCAATGTCTTTGATTTCTTTGCTTTAATTATGGATGGAGTGGTAACTTTTAAAATGGAGAATTATCACTGTGAAGATAGCTGCAAATCATATGCCAGTCAAATAGTCTTTGTGTGACGGATGCCATCCTTTTGTCAACTTCCTTGGATTAGGATATGGAGAGGCGAATCTTGCTGTTTGTTCATCCACTTTTTTAACATTTACTGATCACCTTTTACATCTCAGGCCTGGTCTGGGTATTTGGGATCCAAAGATGAATAACACACACCCCTGCCTTCAAGGAACTCATGATGCAAAGGGGAAGACAGACGAAAATTAAGAGAGGATGATAAAACCATTGACAAGTGTAATGAAGGATGAGGATGTTAATAGGACATACAGGAGAAACACTTTCCCTAGTACGGTGAGGTGGGGATCAGCAGAGTAGGCTTCCTGGCGTGGCTAATGTGTGAACTGAGCTTTGTGGAGGCACTTGGGATTAGCCGAAGGAAAGAGCAATGGAGATGGCATAGCATTAGCAAAGTCATGGAGTAAGAAACAGTACTCTTGTATGTTAGACGATGGGCCCTGGAAAGCTTAGTATGGGTCTAAGCTTTCCAGAGGCTGTAATCACAGAGGTGTTTCTTTTATCTCTTAGGGTGTAAGATACTGTTGCATCTCATAACTAGTTTCACATTGTAGCTAATCAATAGCTCTCTTGCCAAAATTTTTTTAAAAAGAAAACAAAAAAACAAAACAAAATATCCTACATGTTACTCGGAGTTCCTCAGAATAAAAATAAATGGAACTTCAAAATATTCTGGACACATACATTTGTACATGAAAATTTTAGCAGATCTGCTCATTTATTCGTTAAACATAAGGCTGAAAAATTGCTAGAAAGATGCCATTCCTTCCTACACCCCTCCTGGCTGTAATGCTCCCTTTTAAATTTGAATCACCACTTCTCAACGTGACTATGATTTCTCTTTCAATCTTCTGGTTCCATTAAGATGCTGGAATTTTCTTCTCTCTTTCTCTCTCTCTATCTCTCTCAACTGGGAGTTAAGGTCTTGGTGTCGTAGATGCAGAATAGGTGAATATGGCAACTTTGGGTGTGCATTTAACAATAAAATAATAATTCATAATGTTCCAACTTAAAACCATAAATGTATTAGGGTGATCAGACAACAATAAAACCAGTACAGCATCTGCTAAGTGATATTGACAAGTGGTCAAGTGACTCTTTTGAAGCTGAACTGAAAATATGACTGTGACAGAAATACCCAAAATTAAGCTAGGAGAGAAAGTTTCCTGTCTCCTGAATTAAACGTAATTTCAAATTAGGCTTCTTTGTATTTCTTTCTGCTCAGAAAAAAAAAGGGGGACAGAGAGAGAGAGAAGAAAATATTTCTTAAACATTCTCTAAAAGCATTTTTAAATCATTTTTCACACTAAGAAAAAATTACAGTCCTGGAACCAATATTTGACGCTCTTCAAAAGAACGGAAAATTTTCAGTGGCTGCTCACATATGTTCCCCAAATAGATGCTCAAATGTGAAAAATGAGCAAGGTGTTCAGAGGCAGTGCATAAGATTTGGGTGCCTGGAATTCTACGTTGGTCAAGTATCACTATATACATATTTGAAAATCTGAGTTTGCTTTTTCTTTTCTAAAGGGAAGACCATGCCCCTAGATAGCTTAGGCTATAAGGCTGAACACAACACTCTGAAATGCCTGTGCTCTTATGAGAGCTTTCCTTCCTTCCTTCTCTCAGATCTTCCTTTAGGATTTAGGTGAATCCATCTTCTCACATACATTTAAATCAATGCCAGCTGTGAAAGGAACAGTTATAAAAGAATGCAAGTTAGATTCAACACTTGAAGTTATTTTAAAAATGCATGCATATTGAAATCGATATTGGGTGTGAGTGTTTTCATAACTTTTAGGACGTTATTGTCAAGTTTGATAATCAAGTTTATTTTGAAATTAGTTTTGAACTATTTTGCTTGAAGCAGCTGTTATCTAGCCTTTGTTAATGGAACTTATTTGCCAGATCACACGTGGGTAGCCTAATGGAATCTCAGTTCACACAAAATTTCATTCGTGCAGCCCTGATTCAGCTTACTATGTATACATAACTATTTTCACACATATTTTTTGCTATCTTATGTAGAAATGAATTATGCTGAAAACAGGTACATCAACTCCTCTTCCTGAATCTCCCATTTCTGCTCATATTTTCATCATTCTATTTGTTCACAATGCTCCTGGAAACCTTGAGTTCTCTTGTAATTCTCCCGCTGGCCATCCCCATACCTAAATAGTCACAAAGTCCTGAAACAAGTCTCTGATTTTGCTTTAATTCACTTGGACACTAAACTAATTCAGGGTTTTATCCTTTCAATCCTAGATCACAACCAATAGAAATGTTGGCTGCCTTGCTTTCTTTCTGACGTGTCTAGGGCACTTCATATACATTGCCAGTCAAATTCCCTAAACCTGCTTTGATAATGCCATTCTTCTGCTCAAAAAATATTGCATATCTCTTTCACTGCCTGACATATAGAAAAAAAATCCAGATTCTTTAGCCTGGAATTCAAGACCTACTGAATGCATTGTGAATACTCCTATTAGTTTCAAGTTCCTATTATTCTCACCACCTAGTATATAGAAAGTATGCAATAGTTTTTATTGACTTTTCTCCACTTTTTAACTTTGATATAGGCCCCTTCAGCAATTAAGTTTCTATCTTTTTCATATATCAAAATCGAATTCAATTACATTTTTTTTGCAGATTCTCTCTCATTTCTTCTGTATGAAGTGAAACCATATATTCACTCATGTTTTTTATTCATCGCATATTATTAAACTCCTGTTATGCTCCATATATGCAAAGATGAATATGATACCCTGGGTCAAAGTACTTGCTCTAGTGGGCTAACCAAGTAAACAGCTGTGACATTGTGTGATGAACACTACAATATAAGACTACACAGATTCCAGTGAGGTTCCATGGAAGGTGTTATAAACTCAGTGGGTGAAGGTTGGGGTCAAGGGAAGTTCTACTGTGTAAATGAATCTTGGGTGTCTTGAAAATAGTGGAAAGACATTTGGGTCAAAGAGAATAGTACTATAAAGACACAGAGGCTTGAAACACACAGGAGTGTTCAAAAACTGACAATAAATTTAGCTTGGCTTGACAGTAGATACAAGGATGCGATGGGGACAACCAGAAATGAGACAGGGACCATCATAAAGTATTGGTTGTGCCATGCTAAGAATCAGTCTTGAAACACAGTGGGCACTCAATAAACATTTATTCAACGAACAGATGAATGAATCACTTTATCCGCTACTAGTATATTAAATCTTTATGTTTGAATATTTCATTTTTAATAATTTACTAGTTTGTACCTGGGCTCATTGAAGAAAAAGTATGTATTCCCCCTCTGTTTTCAGTTCTCCCTGTGTGGCTGATTTTTAACCTGTTACCGTAACAATTAGAAACATTCCTACTAATATGAATATGAATGTCAAAAGTTGAGTTCTTCAAGTTAATAAAAATAAACAAATGTTCACATATATTTGTGTTTTTCTTTTTTCTTTTTCTAGGGTCAGACATTGTTCAATGGTTAATAAAGAACTTAACTATAGAAGATCCAGGTAAATAAATCATTTTCCCATTGATAGAATTATTTTCTTTGTGGTTTTAAGAAATATATTTTTTCAGGTCTAATGTGACGAGTGAGCAAACCTGAAAAATTATGATTACAGTTAGCTATGCTTTTAGCATTTATACAAATTGTATGGCAGTCAACATATATTTAAATAAATTTATTTAGTGTACTTTTACAATTTTTTGCATATTTAACGTCCTGTTTGGTAACATTTGATACAGGTAACTAGCAGTTGTTAGAAGGGATGAGCTGTATAGGTGTCCATAAATAAGTGTACATATAATTTGTAGTAAGCGATTATGCAGTAATGAAATTTCTCTTCATAAAATACATAAAAGCAAATCTCATTAACTTATAATTTTCCCTAACTCCATTTTTGCATGAGGTTTGAAAACAATGTTATTCATAATTCCAATTTTCTATCATCCCTACATGATTTTCGTTGATACTCTTATTTAAGTCATGGACTCATTCACTGTGGTGGACATTATGTCTATTCTGCAGCACTAAAGTAATTTCCAGAGTTTGGGAAGAGGTTCTACCAGTGCACATTTTGCATTGCTTAGAACATGTTTCTACATTTGTAAAGCATTTGACGACTTAAAAAATTATATCATGTAAGTTCCTTCACATCTGGCAAACAAGTCACATCATTGAAATGAAACTAAAATGTGTATTGTTTAAAGAATATGCTGAGATAAAAAATAACATAAAAAATTGGGATTATGGTGACTGAGAATGACATGGTAGAGAAAGATGGCAATACACTAACTATACAACACACCATCCCTTTGATGACAGAAGAATTTGGCATGGCTTTTGCCCTTGTGTCTGGTGATTACCACCTTAGAATGGTTTAGACATATGAGCACATGGAGATGCAAAGTTTTTATCTTTCCTCATTTTGAGCTAACTTTATAAAGCCATGCCATCAGAAAGTGTAGCTCTAATTTTGTACATAAATGCCTATGAACATCCCTTGCTCGGTTGGTACCTGAGCTCTTAAAATACTTATCCTAGCAGGTTAAATGGAATTACAACAGTAAGTAAAGATGAAGTGGCCGTTGCCAGCATCCTATTGTTACTTGGAATTACAACAGTAAGTAAAGATGAAGTGGCCGTTGCCAGCATCCTATTGTTACTAAGTGAAAAGAGGAGATAAATCTTGGGAAAGGAAACCACAGTCTCATCAAGTTTACATTTCAGCTTCACCTCAGTGGCGTGCCTGACTTTATAAACTATAGCACCAGACAAAAGACCTCAGTGCTAACAACATATTGGCACAGTCATTGATGACCAGGGAACTACTGATTTGCAAAGAATGTTACTGCTCAAAGGGTGAAGTGAATTCAAAAGAGTATTTTTCTTTTGTAAGTTGACTGAAAGTGTACTTCAAATGGTCTGAGAACCAGGCAAAATGAACAGATATGATAAGCTAGTAAGAAAGAATCATTGTTTATAATTTACACATGAGGTATCATTTTAGATATAATGTGTAGGAAAAACTGATTTTATTTGCTTGCTCAACAGTGTAAGGAAGTTATAAAGCTTCATTAGAAGGTATATGAAAAGATAAAACCAATCATATCCAGGAAGGAACATATATGTTCTTTAGTCATATTTATGACAGGCTGAAAAATTCATTTTTGGTTGGTTGCTTTGTATTTTTGAATGAACTAACTCACCCTCTACAGAGTGAAAGGCGCTGTGCTAGATTTTAAGAAGAGTAAGAAGCATTGACGATCATTCTGAAGATATAACAGATTTTACATACAGAAATGAATAAATCTGGCAGCGTGATTCTACCTAATTATGGCCAAGAACATAGCTGACATCATGAAAATGACTTTGATGGCTGCACGTATGAAGTTGATTATACCATTTTAGAACTGCTCATAAGGAAAGACTAAGTAGTCATTATAATGCCAGGTCTAATTTTAACCCTATACATTCTCTGGAGATATTTACAAATAAGAGAGAAACCCATACCAAGCTTCTATCTTGTCTTCTGTCTGGTGATCAAGTGGTTGTTTGAAGACATCTGAGAAATCATTTGAAGTTGTAGATGTCAATAATTTGTTGAAAGGGGATTTTGTGGCAAGTTCAAAGAAGAGACTAATGCCTAGGTATGGGAGCAGGTTCTGATGGCCCATTTGGAGATGGGGGGAGAGGGTTGCATGATCTTTAGGGTCTTATCCAAGACCAAGGAGTCCATATTATTTGTACACTTAGTGTTCAATATTTTATTAATGAATACTTAATACCTTCCCATTTCTATTATAGCAATTCAGTGCACATTCGTCTGAATATTTTACTAGAGATTTTGGTTCTATTAGATACTTGGTCATATTGTATTATTCTTTTAAAACAAAGCTGGATTTGACCTTTAATTAGAATTTAGGATTACTTTTAGTTACCCTTACATACACATATATACATTGACATATCCACATGCACACAGGATTAGTCTGAAATTTTTGTTTTCTTCTACCTCTTGAGTCCGTTACCGCAATTTATATTTTTCTAGGAAAAATTTATTTCTTCGCTGACTTATTCATACTTTCATTCATTTAACACATATTTTCTGAATTCTGACTCTGGGCCAGGCACTGGGAACACAGGATGAATGTTCCTTTCTTGAATGACTTGGTTGTCTTTGGCTTCCAGTGTATCACACGCGTGGCTTTTCTCCTTTTTCACTGACCACGCAGTTTGGCCTCAGTCTTCTCTGATGGCTCTCCACTCCCCAGCTAATCTGTAAATGTTGGAATGTCCAGGTTTCTGTCCTAGGTACCCTTCCTTTCTCCATATACACACTGTTGCTAAGTGACATGCCGAGACTCCCAAGCTCGTAGCTCTCGTGCTGACCTCTCCATGGTGCTCCACACTGATCTACCTGATGCCTATGTGACCTCTGTCCTGAAGGGCCAAACTCAACATGACCAAAGCAGAGCCCTGATTTCTTTACCCGCTCTCAAACCTGCTCCTTCCTCTCTTTCCCAGACCAGTTACGAAGTTAAGTCTTCTATCCAAGAACGTGCTGTGTCTTTCCATTTGTTCACGTTTGCTTTGTGGTCTTCCAGGGGTGCCTTAAAGTTTCCTCATATAGGCTCTGCATGTTTCTTCTTAAGCATATTCTTAGTTATTTTATTTTGTGTTACTATTATATGTGGATTTTTTCTTCTATGTACTAACTGGTTATTGTTTGTGCATATGAAAATTATTGATTTATATATGCTAATTTTACATATCACTACTCTACTAAATTTTATTTTTGTTAGTATTTTAACTAATTTATTATATTTATATTTCATCTAGCAGTTTTTCAGGATCGTATGTCGTTGTTCAATTCCTGAGCCCTTGCGTATCTGACAGTAACTTTTGTTGCCTGTGTGTAGGTTGACAACTTGGCTAGATATTGAGTAGATGAGATAAACTTTCCTCTTTAAAACATTGTAAATATTGATTCATTGCTCTCATGCAGTCAATATAGTAGTAAAATCTGAAGAAAACTAACTTTTCATATATATATGATATTTTTCATATATATATATATATATTTTATTCCTATAGTGTCTTTCCTCTCTTTAAATTCAAAATGTAAGTACACAATTGCTAGGTGTTTATACTTTTCATTTTTTTGGTGTATTTGTATTATCTGCTGAATCGTTTAAATCTGTTGATTTAGGTTTTCTTACGTTGAAAAAAAAATTTCTTCCTATTCTATTATTTAAGCCTCATTTTCTTCATTTCTAAAATGGGTATAATAATTGTGCCTACCACTTGGTTATTTCCTGAAAATTAAAGAATTAATATATATAAAGCTGTTATTATTGCATCTGTTACATAATAATTGCTCAGAAAATGTTAACAATTATAGTTATTTTTGTATTCATTTTTGTTGTTATATATAATTATTTTCCTATTTACTTGTTCTGACTTATTCTTTTAAAATAATATTTAGAAGTATGTTTTACTCCATTCTACACCCCAGTTATCATTTTCTTCTTTTTTATTCTTTTCTTAGTTTTTTCCCTTCCTTCTTCATCTAGGTAAACTTATTAAGTTTGTACATTATATAGCATTCATTCTGATTTTCTTCACTGGCAATTCAACTTTTTTATTGCTGCTAATAAAGACTAAATCTATTATTACATTTTTAATTTTCATCATTTTCCTTATCTTCTCCAGCTCTCTATTTATTTCTACCTGCCCTTTAGCAAGTTCCTTTCTAATTATACCCCATTGTCTTATAAGTCATCTTTCATCTTTTATTACATCAATGTCATTCACTTTTAATATTTTAATTGCACATGGAAGATATTGTCATAAGTTTACACCATGTCATTTTATGTCTTAGAAGTGTTAGCGGGTTTGTTTTGTGAATTGTTTTCCCATGTATTCTCTCAGACATAAAGGATCCTACATAGGACCGATGTTTCGCTATTGACAGGGTGGATGGATTGCCCTTAGATAACTCAATGCCATAATTTCTCTTTTTTGCAGCTGAAGCCGCAGTGCTGGTAATATTAATTGGCATTAATAGGTTAGTTTCCAGACAGAGTATAGTGGAGAATGAGCTGGAACTGTGAGCAATCCCAGCCTCAGGACTTCATCATGGTACCGTACTGTCTGAAGTGATGAACCCATTTCACTGGGCCACATTTTCACCCAAACTCTGCTTTGTCGATTGCCCAGCTGCCTGCGAGCTGTGGCCATGCCAGACTTCTGTGGGGTTTGCTCTCACTGTGGTAGAGAGAAGCTGTCCACACCTGTAGTCTTACTGTTGATATAGCCCCCACTTCACCTGCTTTTGGGTGCTGTTAATATACTTCAGTGAACAGGATGCAAAATGGGGTGCTCCCCTATATCCTATGTTTTGACCTTCCCCCTGCAGATTTGGGGGTTCTCAGAAGACCCCCAAGGTCTTCTCTACACAGTATTGTGTTGCTTTCTTAAAAGGGTTCAATACATAGTACATTATTA